TACTTTATGTCTCAATTATTATTTTTTTATTTCTAGATTATGTTTATTGGCAGAAATGGATTATTTCTTACATATGCGTAAAACTGTATAAAATCAAGTCCAAAAAAAGGTTTGATTTGTATGACTATTCAAAAACTAATGATCCAGTCAGAGCAAATTTTATTGTCCCTCAAGAAGAATATGACATAGAAGCTCCCCAGCCAGCTTCAGTTTTAATAAATGTAGGTAAAAATTTCTTATTTTCTTCCATTTTCAATTAAAAGTAACTATTCAGTGCTGCTGCAGTTGTCACGATAACACTTTCATATAAGCATGCATAAAGAGTGAATTCAGCAGATTTTTTATTTATTTATGAACCCATTATGCCTGGCAGTTCTTTATTATTGTTTCAAAAACACATTGCTGTAGACGAAACTATCTTGTTTCAGCAAAGATGACCACATTGCCTCATTTATTTTGGACGACGCACGATGCTGACCCCATTGCCACAATTATGAAGAATACCCTAAAATTGCAGACCCTTAATCCCCTTCGCAAAATGAAAAATTAGTATTTACGCAAAATTACGTCAAAAATAGTTTTTATGTTGAAAAATAACATAAAGAAATACGGATGGGTGAACAAAATAGAACGAATAAAACGAACTAACTCTTCATAAACAATCTTTCTTTTAGCAATAAATGTATTAGAAAATTTTGCGTGGCAAAACTGTTGGCGTAATTTGAATGATCATGCTTTTTTGAGTCGGTGTCATTTTTACCCATGCAAAATTCGGAAAGAACAAAACAAAGAGAAGAAGTGTATAACCTTTTACTAGCTTTAATACCCAAATTTAGAAATCATACTATAGATTTGCAGTATTTATATCAGAATTCTTCCGGAATTTGAGTGTTAAGAGGAAAGAAATATTAAGCTTCCTACGCTTGTTTCAATTTATGTAAATTTTGCATAGGTAAAAGTAACAACCTTTTTAAAAGCTTCAAGCGTGATCTATATTGCGTATAATTGCCGTACTAACAGTTTTGCTACGTAAAGTATTCCAAAATATTTACTTCTAATACATAAAGTTAATATAAAAGTGACTGTGGTCTGTATTCACCCATCTGTATTTGCGCATTATTATCTTTATATTCTTCTATTTTTTTATATCTCATTGTAATTGCTACCTGATGGCCTCATAATCTGGATAAAAATTTGATGTATATATGCCATTGACTGTGTATATTTTAAAGTCAAATGATCATATAGAAAACAATAATTTCAGTGACATTCGATTACATAACATAGCTAAATGATATTAAATCAAGCAAATGATTCAAAAAAAAATTTTCTTTCACACTGTAAATCTCTTTGAAAGAATCTACAAAAAAAAATTTTTCATCTTTACAAAATAATCAACATAATTTAAAATTAATAATTATTAGCATTTTGTGAAAAATAATTTATTCAACCATTTGCAATTCATTGCAAATTAATATCCTTAATCTAAAAATTCAAGAACTTTCTAAAACCCAATGTGTCATTAAGTCATGGTTATTTTTAATCAAGGCGAGTTCAAGTTGTAAATTAATCTTCATTTACAATCCTCCTTCAGAGTGGTTTTTCTTCTTTATACATCATGATTGTCATCATTCAAGGTCTGCTTATGGTAATACAATTACAGTTTTTTTTCCTAGTTTTTTAATGAAGCTTTTGTGCTCGACAGAAACAGCGCAGAGCATTTCGTAATGACCAATCATTGGACGTATAAAAAGGTCTTCCTTTTTTAACGCTTTTCGTTCTTTCGTCTAAGTGCAATAAAAGTACATCCGTTTTTTTATATTTTTTATTCATGTATTTGCCTTTTTTGTTTGCCTTTCATGTATTAAAAAAATTACGCAAGAAGCAAATCCTCTGAATTTTAGGGGATGAAGGATGGACAAAATTATGGAAACACAGGCTCCATGTAAATGTAATTCGAAAGGAATAGTTTGATGACTGAGAAAATTAAATAAATACTATTTACATTTATTTGCAATTAAAACAAAATTCCCTTTTTGTTAAATTTGAAATCAAACATTCACGATGCTTAAAGCACGAAAAAAAAAATAAAAAGAACAACAAGAAGTGCGATTGGGTACTTGCACTTCAGGATGAAGATCACTGATACCCACACATGTGACCTATGACGCTAGTGCTAGCTGATTGTTCACAAAAAAAATGGAGTGTTAAAGTTGAGTCAAGTTTTTTCACATAAGTTAGGATGTTAATTAACGTAAAGTTAATTATAAACAGCGCCGTATCACACATCGAATTTGTTGAAATATAATTCTTTCTCTTCTACGTCTTTTAATTAACTTCGATTTATCATTTATGTATTTTATTGTATCTATGATATCTATGATATGATATATTTTTGTTTAGTGCACTTGGCAACTGCGATGCATAATTAGTTTGTTTATGTTCTACATAACATGGCTTTGTGCCTGTCTTTGTGTTAAGTAAGGAATATAGAGTGAAATAATTAAAATTTTTGTGAAAGAATATAGAATGTGTGATAATTGATGGGCTTGGCTTACATGAAATAGAATAGAAGAAACAGTTGCTATTGTAAAAAAAGGCCACGTTTCAACAGCCAATCAGGATCTTGATACCCACATTATGTCACTTACAGGTATCCCATTCAGAATGTCAGAATGAAAGTTGAAGTAAATACAAGTTTAAGAGTTTATAAGTAATAATAAAATAATTTAAAAATACAGAATACGCGTTTGAAGTCACGTCGCTTTAAATTATCTTTAGCTAAGCAACAAATGTTTTGGAGGATCTTTAATGGCATAGCGAAACTATTATCACATTTTGAAAGATTATGCTTGAAGCGATTAGAAATTGGCTTTCTTTTTACCGATACAAAATTTACATTTAACAAAAGGAGTGCAGGAAGATAAAAGCACTTTTCCGTTTTCAATACCATTATATTTAAAAAAGCATTTTTTTCTATATAAGTATTGCAATTCTACAGGATGTCTTCACAATTGCTAGCATTAAAGCTCGAAAAAAGTTATTAACCCTCATTTCGGTCGATGTTAAATTTGGATGGGTAAAAATGACATCATTTCTTCAAATTGATGATATTTCAAATTGTGCCGAAGATTTTGACGTGTAAAATCTTACGAAACATTTACTGTCAAAAGAAAGATACTTAGGATACTGCTCAGGGGATAGTGTTCGCCTTCCAATGAGGTGTAAAGGGTTCGAATCCCAGGGATGGCTAGTCAATACGAATTCCGCAACCAGCTCACACCGACCACAGTATTAACGTAAAATATCCTCAGTGATAGACCGATTATGTGTTAGAATCCCCTTGCCGTCAGGATGTATTGTGGTTTTTCTCTCTATGTAACACAAATGCGGGTTAGTTCCGTCAAAAAGTCATCCAAAGACAATTTTTTTTCAATACTTAATACGGTAGTTCCCTTGTCTTTTGTATGGAGCTCAAAATTACAATACGACGGAGTTTAACATTAGTAATCGTAAAGCTTAAATTAGGTTGGTTGGTCAAGGATGGTTATAAATAAAAATAAAACTTCTGAGCTTTTAATTGGTAAAATGCTAATGCATGCTGGATAAAAAGAAATATTAATTAATACATTTGTATAACTTTTTTTATATATCTTGGTAATAGGAATTTATATCTTACACTTGTAATCTTATAAACCAAAAAAAAATTATGTTATACCATTAACAACTTTAATGAAAACATAAAAACATTTTGTAACATTTCACCGCATAATGTCGGGCATTAATGGGACGTCATAACTGATAAATTTTCTGGGTGTTAATCAGAGAAATTTCAAAGATACTTCAAGCAATAGCAAAATTTGTGCATTAAAATTTGATTATTGAAGTTTTAAGCTATCACCTTATTTATTTATTTCAAAAATGCATATAAAAGAACTGAGCCATATGTCGTGATGCTTTTAAGTGTTGGCTAAGTTTTCAAAACAAATTTGTTTTAATTTGTATTTCTCAACCAATTTAAATAGTATGGAGACAAAGAACTTTCAAGTCGCCAGCTTTGCTATTCTAAAGTCGACAATTTTATGCTTTTTTGGATAAGATATTTCCTAAAGGTAGTTATAAAACGACTTAATTTAATGGAAATATCTAAATCGTCTTTACGAAATATCGTCAATAATTTCATGACACATAGTGTGATGATATAAGATTTTTTCAAAAGAAAAAAATTTAAATGATAATAAATTAATTTTTAAATGTATTATTTAGTTTTATCAAATTCATTAATATATATTGTAAACAATGTGGGGAATAATATTTTTTTACAATTAAATCAGCAAATATCAAGATTTATTCGCTTTTTCCGAAGAAAAAGATATCTTAATTATGTAACAATCTTCAAATTAATAGTCCCTTGTATTGTATGTAATTTTAGAGCCACGATGAAGTATTTTTCTATGGCGAAAACTCTAATTCTGATGTCTTGATTGTCAGAATAAATCGTCTATCTTCTACAACAGCTGAAGCTTCAATATATTTGAAGCTTTCCAAGAACAAAAGCTATCATCTTGAGAAGAACTGTGACTTTCAGCAATCTTGCACTGATGGAATGGTATTTTCATGTGGTTCTTTACAGCTCCATTGTCAGTTGCCCATGAGAAGATGGAGATTATTTTTCGCTGGATATTTGAGGTTTATCCAAGTTTATATCTATTTTGAAGTTTTATTAGGATTTTTAATATGTAATTTAATGAAATGTATGTAGATACATCGATAGATAGATATAATTGAAAACATTTAAATTAATAAAATTACCTGGCATAAATTCGATGAATTTCATGACAGTGGGACAAATCCGACAAGCATTTAAACACTACATATTACGAAAATATCAACAAAAGAAAGAACAATAATGAAAAAGGAAAACTCTAACGAACAAGGCATCGTCATCGAGGAAACATTACTATGCTGTCAGTTGGGGGGGGAGTTTCTTCGGTGGGTGGTAAAATTCCATAAACAACTATATTCTCGAATGCACCAAGAAAAAGAGATAAGCAAGAGATCAAACGCAAATCAGAGGAAGATTATATAGTAAGATCCCTAAAATTCAAAGATCAGGTTTCTCTTTATACGAATATATGCACTTCTTCGTTTTTTGGAATCTTAGTTTATAATCTCCATCTTATTTGTCTTTGGTAACCAAACGCAAATCAGAAGAAAATTATATAGTAAGATCCCTAAAATTTAAAGATCAGGTTTCTCTTTATACGAATATATGCACTTCTTCGTTTTTTGGAATCTTAGTTTATAATCTCCATCGTATTTGTCTTTGGTAAGCAGACGCAAATCAGAGGAAAATTATATAGTAAGATCCCTTAAATTCAAAGATCAGGTTTCCCTTTATACGAATATATGCACTTCTACGTTTTTTGGAATCTTAGTTTATAATCTCCATCTTATTAGTCTTTGGTAACCAAACGCAAATCAGAGGAAAATTATATAGTCAGATCCCTGAAGTTCAAAGATCAGGTTTCCCTTTATACGAATATATGCACTTCTTCGTTTTTTGGAATCTTAGTTTATAATCTCCATCTTATTTGTCTTTGGTTTCTTGCTCATCGCTCTTTTTTTAATCATTCTGGGTAAGGTTGCTTGTAGTATTTTACCAGCGATTACAGAAACTGCTCTCGCCTGACTTTAGTTACCATTCTATTTTTCTCAGATAACGAGCAACAGGAAATTTCAATGTATATTTATTTGCAGTTCCTGCTGTATTTAATTCTACCGCAGCTTTATTTAATATTATTCCTCAATTACTGAAATTCAGATCATATTTATTTGCGTGAATGTATGAACACTTATTCAAGTACTCCTAACTAAGTAAAAATTGCAGAAAATTTCTCCTCTTAGTTTTAATTTAATTTAAGCACAGGTAATATAAGGGTTGACGAAATCGAAAGTTTAAAAGTGCTATATCGTAAAAATTATAATAATCAAAAAATTATAGCAGCGCCACCACTTAAGATTATAAAGGAAGATAATAGAACTGCACCTCAGATTTATTACTGATTTATCAGGTTATTGGAATATATTTGAAAGAATGTAAAGTCGAACTAAGAAGGGTGCGTTCAAAAAAGACGCAAGTATTATTTTTAGAGTCGGAAGTATTATTTTTAGAGTGTATTATTATTTTTAGTGTTATTTTTAGAGTCGGAATTGGATTGCATCTATTTTTAAACTCATGCTAGAAATTTTACTCGTGTATGCAAATATCACGAGTCGTAACTCTTCGGTTAACTTTTATGATTTCAACAACATTAGTAATAAATTCATGAGCAATCATAGCATTTAGTAGCATTTGGAAAACATTAGAAAAAAAGCATTCGGTTCATAGTAGTAGGAAATTCAGATATTGATGCCACGCTTCACAAAGTGTTTCACCAATTGTTTACAGGTGTTTGTTTTAGATATTTTTTGCCAAAAACTGTAAACATTTTGCGATAAATGCCTCATCACTCTCGGCTTCTGTCAATAAAATTTATAACACTGCAAGTTGCTGCTCTGAAAGCATCGATCTTATTATAACTTTACATTCATTTTAAATGCTTAATCAGATTTATGCCCTAAGTTTATAACAATGCTCTTAGTTTATAACCCTGAAAAATGACGCCACTATCATTTATATATTTCAGAAACTACAAAGCGAATCTTTGAGTAGCCAGTATGAAGTCAGGATTTGAAATCAAAAAATATTTTTTTTTAATTTTTAAAACTCCTTGTGAATTCGGTTTCTTACTATATTTTGTAAGAGTTTATAATGGTACAGTTGTGCTATTCACAATAATAACTTGAAATAAAACTATGATGTTTTATCAAATATTTCTCCTTTGTTTCAAAGAATTTCTTTATTCTTTCAGAGAAGTTTCAGAAAATGATCAGAGCTCAAAAAAAAGTGTATATGTAAAGTTTGCCTTATTGTAAGTATTGCTTTTAAAATTTATCTTAATTTGTCTTGTAAAATTTCACCATGAAATTTAACGTTTAACTTTGTTGACTTATTTAGAAAATTTACTATTCTCTAGATATTTATAGCTTATATAGAAAATTTACATAAATTTTTGTAGGTTAGATAATATTTTTAAGATCTGAAATAAATGTTACTATAAGTTCTTCTTATGGCTGATAATAAGAAACAAAATATTATTAGTGAAAATGATCTAATAAAATCTGATAAATATACTATTTAGAACGTGTAAGAATTTTTACGTGTTGTTTTATTATTAGAGAAAAAATGAAATAATTTACTTATAAAAATATCAGAGTTTTTAAAAGAATTTATCGTTCAAAATAAAGGATAAAATTTTATGTAGTTTTTATAACTTAAAACTTCTACAAGAAAGTTTTTGATTTCTAATATATTGTATCAAAATATTGCAAAAAAGTTTAAAGGTATTGTGAGTAAGGTGACAAAAAAATTAAAGTGTGAACTAACGAATTTAATCCCTTTTTTCTGTCAACCTGCCACTTGACTTCGGATTTAAACACAAATATTTATATTATTAATAAATTGTTGTAGGCAGAACTATCTTGTTTATGAGAAATAAATCCCAATAATAAAACACAAGTGGGTTAACACAAGTGGGCGCGCTAGGCACAAGTGGGTTAAATAGTAAGTTGATAAGTCAAATATAAAATTTACAAATTAGTTTTGAAATCATTTTAGTGTTGGCAAACCTTTCTCATTTCTTAGGAGTCAAACTAAAGATTCTGTTGAACAAGGTGCACACTAAATTTGCAATTTTTAATGATTTACCCTTCGGTGAAAAGAGGTTATAACCATTCTTTAAATTGATCAATACTAAACAGCATTTTTGCAATGACCTTTAAAAAAAATAATTACCTGAACATTGTCTATAAATTCCACGATGTTTATAGTAAGGACTACGACGGGATTTACTGTTACTGCTCAGTGTTGTCCAATAACATTAACTTTTAATGAAACAGTATAAAAAACGATTAATTATTTGCAGAATATAAAAATATGTCTGCAAAGCGAAGATTATTGTTAAAAATGTGGATTTAAAGAATAATAAAACGTATAATAACATGTAATACTTACAGTTGGGTAACAAAATAATACAAACTTTTCTGTACTAACTTTATAAACGCACTCCTATCTTTAGCAGCAAATATTTTGGAAGTTCTTACACGGCAAAACTGTTTGAAAAATTTGAGAGATCATGTTTGAAGCTTTTAGAAATTCCATCCTCTTTACAAATGCAAAACTTAAATCGACCAAAATAAGTACTTTAGTACCACAATAATTCAAAAAGCATTTTTATATAAGTATCACAATCCTATAGAATGATCTTCCTGGTTTTTGAGAATGTATTTGCGTATGTTCCCCCCTTTTTTAATATTCATCTCGATTTACATACTAATGTCGCCTCTAACTGTTCGACTCATATAACCGAAGAATCGGTAAGTGCCACCTTCGATAACAAAGGCTGAAATCCTGCAATTTTCGTGAATCGTGAGAATGATTTCAAAATAACTGGCATAAAAGTTAGAAAGAAGTCACTAGCTTCCTCATTTCGGTTAATACGAATTTAATATGGCAATTTTGAAAGCTACAAACATAACATTTCAAAGAGTTACAGCAGTTTTGCCATGCAATATCTTCCGAAGCATTTTCCACCAAAATAAAAATCATTTACATAAAGTAAGTGTAAAAAGGCTCGTACAAATGTTTCAGTGCATTTATACAAATGCATGATCTTTCTTAATTTGTGATTGGGAGTTTTAAGTCAGAAAGTTAATTTTGTTTGGAAAGCTACTGGTTTTTCTTCCAATATATATATATATNAACATAAACTTTGACTCCCTCTAGCGGTTTTGGGTTTTGTTTTCGACCATGCATTCTTTGATAAATAAATAAAAATTCCCATCTTTTTAGAGTCACCCTGTATATAAATATAGCTACAGATTTGAAATCAGCAGCGCGTAATATCTTAGATCTGCAGAAATGACCCATGTAACAGAAAACAAAAACAACAGTAAAAGCGCCTAACTACAGTGCCAAAACGATCGTTTATGTATGTTAATTGTGATGTTGGTGTGTTATTGTATGTTATGAAAAGTTTTACCAAGATGAGAACACAAACATGTTTTCCTTTCTTTTAATTGTATAAAACTGTTTCGTTCCTATTTTTCAGGTGGAGGGCATCATCTGATGTTTATGATTTTGCTTCAGATGTAAGTACAAAATGCTTAACTAACGGTCTGGTCAACGCTTCTTGGGAAGGGTTTTGCCCGCAAATTAAAAGGTACGAACTTTTGCTTTGACTAAGACAAATTATGACCTTAATTTTAAACAATATTCGAAAAAAAATCTGTTTTGCTTTATCATTTGATCTGAATTGACGAAAGTACAAAAAAGTTATTGTAAATATATGTAAAAATGAGTTCTTGGTTTAGAACTTTGAATTCGAATTTTCTCTTGCTTGTCATTACATAATCTTATAGCATATTTTATTAAACTGTCAACAAAACTCAAAAAAACAACTACAATTTTTTTAAATTTAACCATTTGAAAGCGAGCTTATATAACAGAAGAATACTAAACTATTTTTAGAAAGGCGTCTTAAAATGTTGAAGTGTTGTTAAAACGTAGACTAACCTACATTTGTAATAACATCTTTACATTCTGTTAATTCAGATCTTATATAAAACCAACTTTGCAATATTTTAGGTCACAAATACATGAACCCAGCTTAAAGCTGTTTTAAGTGACCCGTATTCAAGCAGGGTTGATTTTACTGGCCATTCAAAAGAATGAGGCTATACTCTGTTTCAATTTTTAAAAAAAAACCATTTCTCTATGGAGAGAGCCTGTTTGCATCTAAATGCACGCTAAATGGATCCCAAGCTCTTAGCGCTATCGCATATCAACGTCACCAAAACTTGAAAAGACGTTGCACAGCTTCCTTTTTGCTTGCTTTCTTATTAACAACAATCATCTATTAATAAGTAATAAGAATTAATAAAATTGTTATTAAAAAATCGTATCAAATTTACGTCTTTCTGTCTGCATTTAAGGAAACTGATGTAAGAGCAATAAGTGTTGTTTCTTGCAGACGATTTTCTTCTACAGCGAAACAGAAGGTAAACTTTTTCATTTCGCATTTGATTTGTTAAGAGCAGGTGGGCACAAAAGCCCCATTTTTAGTGGTTCAATCAAATCGAATGCTCTTTCAATGCCATATAGTTGTTTCCTTTTCACGAACGATTGTTCTCCTTATTGAACAAAATACGTCACCATGCTTAAAACTCCTAGAAGACTACGAGATTATAATCTTTTTTTTAATACATCTATGATCTATATTGTAAAAGATAGCATAAATTAATTTCAACTTGATGTCTTCAGCATTTAATTATTTTTTTATATTGTTGGGTTAATTAAAAATCTGATTAATTTCTAAACCCATTCTCAGCTAAGAAGGTGGAAATATGCCTATATGAAAAAGTGGTTGGACACTAGCGCTTAAAACACATGTGATATACTTATGAAAAAATGAAGGTATACACCATTATACTCTACTCTCTAGTGATTTATGGAGTATGGTATACTAGTCTATTTGAGTAAAAATCGCACTATCAGTCTCTAAATAATCCTTTCACTTTTTACATATATTTTTCATTTAGTTTTTTTTTTATAGATTTTTACAGATTTTTCTTACGCATGTTTGCTTTTTTTTCTTTATATCGTAGCATTCTTTTCAAAAATATTAGTCACGACTAAAATAAATGCTTAATGTCTACCATAAGCAGGACTTTAAACTCGCATGTGTATTAAAATAGCTCAAACTTTTCAAAGCCTGAAACAAACTTTTGATTTTCATGGTCAGTCATTTCCTAATGTAAATTATTAATTTCTGTGATAAACTGTGTTTTAAACTTACAAATGCATTAAAATAACAAAAACTTTTACAGCCTCCAACAAACTTTGGATTTCTATGGGCAGTCAGGAGTAATACACGGAACAATAACAGTCGAAAATGAATTTGAAGACAAAGAAATTTATTTGTTTGGTCATCGGATAAGATATTTAGGTAAGTTACTTTTTATTCTAAATAAATTGACGACTAAATACATCAAATGAATTGCTTCAAACTTGCATAAGTTTTATTATTAGATTATTGATGGACACTACACACAATAAGGTTTAATCAAAAATGTTAATACGTGGTTGTAAATAGTGCTAGAATGTAGTACGCGATTTGGCAACAGCACTTGTTTTGATTCATTTGATGTGCGGACAACGAGACTACTGCTATCTTCTGAAAAGTTTAAATCGTTTTCATATTCCATCTGAAAAGTCGGTTTTTCAAAATGACAACAGTTAAGTAATCGCTCAGCGTGGTTTCCTTAGAAAGTTAAAGATTTATCGCACTAACTTTATCTGTCAACAGCCATGCCATCAAGATTTGAGTACGAAACTTTAAGACCACAGATTCGGCAGAAGCTACATGAAAACACAAGTGTACATATCCTCAGAAGTAAACTCAATTCAAAAAGAAATTAATGAAATTTCTGTGGAGAAGCTGCAGCAGCGATGTTTACAGAGGAGTTGAAAAGAGTACACTTACGGTACCATCCAGAGGGAAAACTAAATACTTTTACGCTAACCGTATATGCTTGTGTACTTAATCCAGAGACTCAAACTACTACGGACTCTCCGTAGTTTCGGAAAATAGTTTTCCTAGAAGTAACTATAACAGGGTTCCCAGGACGTGGTAAAAATAAATTAGTGGTAATATTGACGGTGAAATTATTTATCTCATTACTTTTCTGATCGATAAATTTCTTAGATTTATGGAAACGTCGTCTTAAAAACTGTCGACGCGGCTTAGGATGATTCTTACCTCAGTTAGGATGATATCAAGCATTTAGTCATTAGCAATACTCTTAATTTCCTAAATCTAACAAACATTAAAAATGCACATGTCGTTAACAACTTAATAAAATTCGAGTATTTAAACATTCTCACTTTATTAATATTTTTTTTTGTTTTTAGGAAAACTGTTTTCACAGGAAGAGTTTGATTTTTATCATATTTTGGGATACACCAAAAAGGTAGCAAGTTTTCATCTTATTCGTATAACCTTTTTAAACATTTTCTATTTTTACTTAGCTCCGTCTTCTTTTTTTTCAATCATATTGATCTAAATTTAGCCCTTTTTTCCTAATGTACTTTTAAGTGATTTCTTTAAAGAAAAACGAAAGAGTTGATACAAGCGTTTAATGCTTTGTTTCAGCATTTATTTATTTATCCCTTCTATCCAGGAGTTCCCGTGTCTTCTGAATTGGGTTCAAAATTACAAAGCTACGGAGTTGAACTTTGGTAGTTTAGGGTTCCCACGGTCTTGACTCGATTTTGAATTTACAACTACAGGGTTCTCGCGACGTAGAAAAAATTAATATCTAATATATTAAAATATTTTAAAGTGGTAGCAAAAGTGAAATATATCGATATGTTTTGAGCTAGGAAATATTTAATTTAAAGAAACATATATATGGGTGTGCAAAAAATATTTCTCGAGTAAGTGCGCAGTTCACAAATGAAAGATACATTTAAGTAATATTCAGTAGTCTTGAAAAGTCTTAGCTACCATTTTTTTATTTTTTCCAGGTCATGAAAACCCTGTAGTTGTAAACTCAAAATCTGGTTGGCTTTTCAACGACTTTGTTTTGTAAAATAAAATGAATGGTTAAAGGACCCATGAGTTGACTCTGACTTCCAGAACAAATCATACAACAAATGGATAGCCACAAACGGGAAAAAATTTAAAAAGGGACAGAGAAAGAGTGAAGATAACAAATTGTTTTTGCTAGGTCCTATTTATTTATAGCATATTTGAAGATCTGAGTGGATGAACTAGGTAAGTGACATATTCAGAGAGGCTATAATTAGAGTAAGAAATAAGTGGTGTCTGAAAAACTTCATTATAAATATATTAAGAGGAGGAGCTTATAATTCTTAGACTTATTTGATTAAAAAAAATCACGCTGACATACACAAAACCAATGTGGATTAGATATATCAAAATCAAAGTGAAAGCTATAACAATTTTGCTGCATTAAACATACTTATATTGATACGATCATTGTAGGTTATTTTCCCTGATTGATAAATATCTCTTTAAATATCAGTTGCCTGATTCATCTTCCTTGCTCTATATTTTGTTTTACAGTTGTCGTCGGACAGCAGACCCAGTTTTGGGTTTGCGACTACTAAGGCTCAAATCCGTAGCCTTATAATTTTTAACCCAATCCAGACAACAAGCGAACTCCTGTATCAAGTATTGGGCGAAATTTGTCTTCGAGGAGGACTTGTGATGGAACTAACCCGCATTTGCGTTACTCAGGAATAAAAACCACGAAAATATCCCATGGTTAGCCTGGAGGTAAGGGGGCTCTAAACCATGATCAGTCTTCCACTGAGGATATTTTACGTCAGCGCTGTGGTCGGTGCGAATTATAATGATATTTAAAAGGGAAAGAAGTTTTCAACTTCGCAATCGAATTTCGATCCGAATTTCGCATGGATAAAAAAGACCAAATTCCTTTAAGCTTCAAGCATGATTTTTCAAACTGTGCCAATAGTTTTGCCAAATTTTCGTAAACTCCATGAGCTATTTCAGATTGTGGACATCCTGATACAGAAATTGGGAAAAGGGCCGTAAACATTCTGAAGCACCTTGATAAATACACATGATATATAGCAATATGATACTTATGATACATGACATATAGCAATCTGACATTCGCTGGATAAAAAGCATTTAAACTTAAATGATTGCAAAATCAGGTAAATTTTCATTAGCTTTGATGAGTATTTAACTACCACTTTTTTTGGTAGAACATTGAGAGCTCTGATAATAATTGGGCTCATTATTATCAAAACTAATATTTCGATTATAATTTGCTTGCTAATAATTAGACTCATAATACTACGAATTAAAAAAACTCGCTCATTTCAATATTTCTTATATCCATGTCAAATATAGCAGTTTTGTTTATGGGAACGCTGTGTGTAGCTGGATGTAGCGGGTTCGAATCCTGCTGTCTTGATGCACGTTCGTTACATTCTTCTCTGAATTGTGCTAGCTTTTCTTCTACTTTACAAAGCTTTAAAAGTCATAATTAAGCCCACAAATGTATGTTGTACTAATAAATAAATAAATTTCGGTAAATGCTATAAAATGTTAATTAAAATTTAAATAAGTTAAAAAATTAATGCTTGCATACTTAGACGTGTTAAGATAACATCTCAAAACTGACAAAAGTTGGTAATGGATACATATGTTTTTGATTAAATGAAAAAAGGCAACATCTTTATAATTGTTTTTTTAATATTTATTTTAGTCTGGTACTTTCTTGCATCTTGGAAATATTACATCATCAACAGCAAAAGAGTAAGCATACATTAAAATTACTTACTGAGCTGCCAACTTACCACGTTTTTCTGGAAAATTTCTACTGGTAGTAGCTAAGTTTACGTTTAAATGTATGATTCAACCACAATACAAGACGAATGGGAAAAAGGCCGTTAACGGCCCCAGGCTCCCAGATATATTTCGATGATGATGATGATGATAATGTATGATTCACTGTTTTCTAAATTTGATTTAAAGTTATTTTTTACACCATTATTATATTTGTTCCACCTTTTTCGTGGTGAGGCTTTTAATTTGTAGGCAAAATTATCAAAAAATAATTGAAAGATTCAGTTTTTAATTTTCTACCGCTCTATAAAATATTTTTCGAGAAGCGCAGTAGTTGGCAGCACTCTCTCTACTTATATTATTTATCTTCTTATATTCAATTAAATCATTCTTAGAAAACCAGAGTCATAAAATGTCAACCGTTGTATTTATTTCTTATTCTCAGTTTTTGGTCTAAATACAAGCTATGTGAACGATATGGAAGACTGTACGGGAACTAACAATATGCAAACTATACGAAAACTGATTTAAGATATTATTGACTACCTCTCTAACGATGCTTTTGAAATTTATTCATAAAAAGCAACTTATAAGAGAAAATAGTTGCCTTTTTAACATACTGTTAGAAAGTAAAATTTATCATCTATTACAAAGATGTTGCAACCTTTCTAGGTTCTAGCTACAATGGTTAAAACTAATTATCACTTGAGCATTATAAAATCATATCTCGGCTTTTTAGTTCAGATATTTATTTCCTTTCAATATGAAACTTATCTTATTTTATTTTATGACCGCCGTTGAACAGTCGACCCAATTTTTGGGTTTACGACTACAAATGTTCAACGCCGTAGCCTTGTAATTTTGAACCAATCCAGAAGACAAGGAAACTCCTGGATCGGTACCCCCAGAGGTTTTGATTTGTTATGGGAACATGGAGGACTTTGAGACTCGACAGATTTAACGTGCATCAGTCACCATTTACTACACGGGGAGTCTTCGACCAGCAGGGACCGAACCCACGAACTCTTGGACATGGGCCCGGCACCCCACTGACCAGGCTATCCCGGCCTAGTAGCGACAATTTAATTTTACATAGATTAACTAGCAGCGTTACATTACAGCCACAAAGAATGGACATCGACAATAACAGTACAATATAAAATAGCTAGCCACGTCACAGGTATTATTATTTTTTTTATTTATTTTTTTAAATTTTTTAAATTTTTTTTTCGGTAAATATACGAATAACTTAACACACCTATATTTTTCTCAAGGGGCCGGGATAGCCTGGCTGATAGGACGTTGGACTTGTGTTCGCCAGATATGAGTTCAAATCCAACCAGCCGAAGAAACTCCATGCATTAAATGGTGACTGGTGTACTCTAAATCTGTCGGAGTCACAAATTCCCCTAAGTTCCCATAACAAATCATTACCTCTAGGGGTACTGATTTGGAGATTGATCGTTCTCTGGTTCAAATCAAAATTACGATTTGTGGATGAATAAATGAATGGATGTATAAATGGATTCACCCAATAGATGTCTGAAATCATATTCTTGGCCATAGATGGAGCCGCTAATAACCAAAAAATGCATCCCCTGTTTTAAATTAGCTTGGTTTCCCAAACAGGCCTGCTGTCATTGGCAAGTAGGTAATAGAAACAACAATATATTTTTTTCTCAATTTTTCAACAACTTAAGGAAAATGTTCCATGTCAAATCAAAGCTGCATTACAACGGTTTTAAAGTTTCAACGCATTATTTTGCAAGCTTGCAAGCCATCGCGAATAAGACGTATGCAGACATATTCCTTTTCATTCCGAATTGGAGCATGGGGCTTCCGTCATAGCTTTCCATCTCACTCTATTTGTAGCCAGATATTTTGTCTTGCTTTTCCAATTGTTTTCAACTTGTTTAAAATCGTCCTGCGCCAAGTATTTTTAGATCTTCCTCTTTTTTCTATTGCATCGAAGGTTCCGAACAAAAACTTGTTTTATTCTAAATTTTTTCAGATTTACGTAAAACATTACCAATCCATTTCCATTTTTAAGTCCAGATCAATTGGTTTCTGATTTGCTTTTCTAAGGACGTGAATAAGAATTCTATCATATATGTAAAAATTTATGGAAAAACTGACATTTTGTGAGACTGTCTTACAATATTTAAAATAACTTTGGAATTTTTCTTAATAAAATAGCAATTTTCTCTTGCAGTAAATATATTCTTTAACCACCATTTCTATTTACAGTTTTTCGTTCGGGTTTGTTGTCCAATCTGATGCTGATTTGAAAAGTATTCAAAAGGCTGCGGTTGCAATTTCTCAGTCAGAATCATATAATATAGGCAGCGTACAAGCTAATTATCACACTGGTAAGATAATATATACACAAAGGTACATTATTTTTTGAAGAAAAAAATATCTATCTATGTATTAAAAGCGTATCACATTTCAAATGTATTTATGCATCACGTTTTTTCCCACTATTTTTCAAGTACTAATTATATTAAAATATTTTGTTGTATTCAAGTATTAATTACATTAAATTCTTTTTGCTGCATTTAAGTACTAATTATAATAAATTCTTTTGCTGTATCCAAATACTATTTATATTAAATTATTTTGCTGTGTTCAAATTTATATTAAAATTTATTGTTGTATTCAGGCACTAAATTTAAAAAATTCTTTAGCTGTATTCAAGAACTAATCTATTCTAACTATTCTTTTGTCTTTTGTTTTGATTTTTGCTCCGAGAATGGATAGTTAAAGCAATTTTATTCACAATTATATTTGTACTTTGACCAGGTTGAAATTCGCTGTCGTGAAGATAATTATGCTTTTATGTAGTTGTTGTAATTATTTATATATAATTGTAGGCAAACTCATTTATAATTATTATTATAATTCAAGAAATTTTAACGATTTAACATGAGTTTCGCTGCCACTTTAAATAGGAAAATTAAATCTTCTGGGAAAACTGGAAGTGTTGGTATGTTTTATGAATGCCCCTCCGATGCTTACAGCAAATTAGACTTAAAACACGAAACTATATTCTATGAAGGGAAAAATATTCATGAATCAAAATACCCCTAACGCACATGAATTCTATATTTTTAAACATAGCCCTCTTTAAAAAAAATATAGATTAGTAACTCAGTTATCTCATTAATCTTGGAGAAGAAAAATAATATTGGTATCTATCCAATTATATTAATGCTAAGAAAATCTATATTTGGTTTTCAAATCACTTTATTATTAATTTTAAACCAAATTGGAAGTTAAATGATTAAAATGCTATTTTTTTTAAATTTATATTACTACCACTTTTAAGATTTTCCATGGTGGGTAAAACACTTATCAAACAGATTAGCAATTACATTATCAACTGACAATCACAATGCGATTTAATGACTGGTTCCAATAAAAAGGTTTGTCACTTGCAATTTCCAAAAATAGATGGAATTATAAAAAATTAATAAATATATTTTATAAGGACAATGCTTTCCCTTCCTCTTTACATTTTTGATTATTTGTGATGGCAAATCCTAAAAACAAAATTGCGGTAACCACCTTATAAAAAGTTGCCCTAACCACCACATTTTACCCTTTTTGTAAATTCCTTTAAGTGACAATAAAATTATGTTTTTATTATTAATTATTAATTTATTAAATAATATTATACTCCTTTAAATATTAATTGAAATTTCATTTCTGAGCTAAGCACTACTAACAGTGCTAACCTCTCAAGACGTCTACTTTGCTACCGAAATACCTTTGCTACCGACGGATCCAAGTTGTCACCCACTCGCACACTGACAGGAGCCGGCTTGACATCGGTGATGTGCTGAGAACTGTGTACTGAAAATAGAAAGGAGCTTTTAACTTCTTACGCTCATATTAAACGATGCAAACTTAGCATGCTTAAAGAAGACCAAATTTCTAAAAGCTTGAAGCATGATCTTTCAAACTATGCCAACAGTTTTGCCACGTAAAATATTCCGAAACATATGTTGCTATAAGAAAAAGTCTTTACATGCATTTAATATAGAAGTGTTTCTACATTTTTGCTTACACCCTATATGTAATACAATAAAAAAAATTAATTGAAGGACTTATTAAAATTAATTGACCCGACAGATTTAACGTGCACCAATCACCATTTACTAAGCTGGTAGTATTCGTCCTGTGGATATCAATCTCACTACCTCTTGGAAATTTGGCCCAACGCCCTGCCAACCAGGCTATCCCGGCGAGTCAAACGCCTACCTTACTTAACTGAAATTAGAATATTTGAATCCTTCTGTAACCAATTTCATTATTTTTTCTTCATAAGTGTTGGTGATCGCATTTTATTTTTCTAATTTGCGTGTCAAACGTCTACTTGCTTAACTGAAATTAATTCAAATACTTAACAAATAATTTAAATATTTCCCAAACAAATTCCATCCATCTCTTTTTCATATAAGTAATGATTACCGTATGTCATTTTTCTACAATGAGTTTAAACTTAGCGAAAGTTTAAAGTTATTCATATAAATTACTGTTTATTTTAGATACATTTTCTTATGACCTTAAAGGACTTATTTCCAGTTCAGTTCTTTCAAGCGAAAAATCGTCTCAAAGCATTTACCTGAAAAGATTGGAAATCGATTTAAATGGTGAGAAAGGATACGGAATTTTACTGAAAAGGTAGGATTTAATATTCAATTTTATTTAAAGAACTAATAAAATGTAATACTGAGCGAATTAAAAATCTGCCCCTAGGCAACTTTTTGTCACCAGATTTGAGACAAGCTTCTCTTTAAAAAGTCAGTATTTTCTTATAGTGATATATTGCATCTTAATAGCTTTATTATTACTATCTATTTTTAAAAAAACAATGCAGAATTGTTTATCATAATATATATTAACAAACAAGTATTTGTAAATTTGCATAAAAAAACTAATCACAGTGCTTCCTCGTAAACTAAAGATGTTGATAACAGAGAGACGATGTATCTGCACTTTTACATCATTGCGCTACTTGTGCTCTGTTATTTATGGCTTAAAACATTTTCGTCAACTATAAACTATTCATAGTTTTACTATTATTTGGAGGCTTTAACCCCTTGGGGACGGGTGTTGCAGAAAAGCATTCGTACAAAATCAGAATCAAGTTGTAATTAAATAAAAAACGGTAACTTAAATGTAGTCGTTGCTAATTTGACAGGCTTACTTTGCTTTTACTTTAATTATTGTTGGTTTAATCATATATATAATCAATGTTAATTCAAAGTATAACTAAATACTTTTATTTTGAACAAAGTAATGGTGAATTAAATAAATCAAACAATTATAACTCCGCCCACAAATAAACTGCTAAAGAAATACTTTGATTACCAGTTTTATCTTTTTACCCTGATTGATACGGTTTTATGCTGTCACGTATTTGTGACAGGCGGCGCGAAAAGGTTAAAGCCCCAAAATATGGTCCTCAACCTGTATTTAAAGTATAAAATATACATTTTCAGAGATGCCAACTGCTCCGGTCGAGCCATAATCATTTAAAAAACGGTAAACTACCACAAACAAAAATTCGCAAATAGCGGTTTAATTGTGTTAACTTTTCAAATGGTGTAACACGACCTAACAACAACAAAGGGGCAAATAATTTAAGTCTTCGGATTATTTAAAAATAGTGGTGGATAAAAACCTAATAAATTGAATTTATTAAACCAAGAATCACAATAGATAAACTACCACTTTAAAATACATATTTGTTGTCCGGAGCAAGTTGGCATCTCTGCATTTTAGTAAAATTTTACCTTAAAATAGAAATATTACTATGTATACATAATTCTGATTTCAATTTTAGACAGAACCCAAAAGAAGCAGAAAGTATGTTTATGAAAGAAAAAGTTCGAAGAAAACCATCAGGTAAAATTGAAAAAAAGAACATATAACAAGTCCCTGACACGGACAATTAAAAATGCAAAAAGTGGTGACTAATAAAATTCAAAATTTTATTTAAATAATTAAAATTTGCAACTGTTTACAGCATATTTTTTTCAGTTCAGTTTTGAAAGTAAATGTAAAGAATGATTTCGCTTTGAAAATGAATAATTTGAAATGTAGTCACAGCGGTAGTTACGATTGAAGAGATAATAAATCAAATAAATTGAGTTTCTACCACTTTTTTTCATTTATAGTCGCCTGTGGCATCTTTCTAAGTCTATATAAGGCCTACATAATACTAGCCCTGACATAATACGCCTATATAAAGTTAACGTGTTTTAATAAAATAGTAAAAACAATTTGTTTCTTTAATCTTTCTCTACCTTTTTTTAAGCATTTCCTGTTTAAGTCCATTTCTGGTATAAATCATTTGATTACTAGAATGATATTAAAAAAAATTCTGTATAGTATAATTCAGCCGGAAAACAAAATAGTAAACAAAAGGAATAGCTATAATACATTTAAATATGCCTTAAAAAGGTTTTCTTAATTATTCTGCCCACATTTTAAAACATTTTTATGACATAAATTCTTTAAAATAAAACAAAAAGTTTTTAGAAATTAAGAAATACAACTGTTTCTAGATATTTCATATATGAATATTTAATATATTATTTAAATAATTCCAATAATTATAATTAGGTATTTATTACAAATATATGGTTGTTTTTTTTTTTATCTTGTACTGAGAAAGTTTTTAAAATATTTACTATCAAATAAAAAAGGAAGTTCGTAATATCAAATTTACAACTTCAATCAGAAAGTGGTATTTCTTCAGAATTTAATTTCTTTAATGAAGTCGTTGCTTTTATTAAAAAAAGCAAACTATTAAAGTTTTCACTAAATAAATAATAAAAAAAATTATCAATTTCATGTTAATTAATTTAATAAAAATTAACATTATTTAAGTAATTTTCATTTTCCTTTTCTTATGTAAAAAAGGCAAATGAAATTTTTAATTTAAATTTTAAAATTCAATATTCAATTTAAATTTTTTTTCCAGTAATTCCTGCAGTTCTCCCATTCAAAGAAGATTTATGCCAAGCAATTGATATAACCGGTGGAAAAGGTTCGTCCTTAGGAAAACTCATGGAATTAAGTGAATCACTAAACAAAGTAGGTGTCTAAAAGTTGTTCAAATCAATGTCTCAAAATTGTTGCAATTCATTTATTTCTTTTATTGCAATGCATATAGAGTAAGGATAAAAATGAAGAAACTGTATGCTAAGACATTTTCTTGAAGCAACATATGTTTTGAAGATTTTATGTGGCAAAACTGCTAGCATAATTTTAAAGATCACGCTTTAAGCTTTGAGAAATCTGGTCCTTTTTAAGAATATAAAGCTTGCATCGTCCAATATAAGAGTAGGAAGTTAAAAGCTTCCTTCAATTTTGAATACCACTATAATTTAGAAAGCATTCTCTTATAAATTTTGCAATCTCCTTCACTGATTTCAAAATTGCTGGTAAACTGAAAAATAGTCATTTATATCCTCCGCTCATTTTGAGTGACTCGAATTTTATATGGGTAAGAATAAAATCATTTCTAAAAGCTTCGAGTGTAATCTTCCAAATTGCGCAAACAGTTTTTCCATGAAAATCCTTCCAAATCAGTTCCTGCTAAAATAAAGTTTGTTTTCCCAGAGTTAGTATGTTAGTGCCTCCATATTTTTGTCAAACGCCTGAACATATGCAGACTTATTTGCTCAAAATACGGCTTAAGTAATTATCAAAATGAAAATCACAGGGAGCACAAACTAGAGAGAATGACATCACAACAATGTATCCAAGATTGCGAAAAAATTCAGACCCGCTACCTCCACGCTACAGGGCGTTTGGTAGAAGCACATTGTTTTTAAAACAGGTGCTGCAGTGTCCTATAAAATATGAAAAAAAAACAGGTAGAAAATTTATTTTTTAAAACGACATAGTAAAGGAATTTTAGCTTCACTTTATTTTAAAAATGTTTCACGATGTGGTTTTAGACAGTAATAGAATAGGCACCAAATAATTTAAAAAAGTTGCAAAATTTCATTTCATTAATATTTAAATGCTCAATTTAGCTTTTCGTTCGTAAATATCACCTTCTATTCTCATAACAAGGAATATATGGTTAGTTATAAAAATCTCAGAGATTTTATTTATTGATAATAAAATGTGAGAAAATAGGCAAATTCATAAATTTTTATTTATTTATTTATTTTTACATTTTGTATTAGTAAGCAGTCGTTATCCCTTAGTTTTGAAGCTAAATTTATTCATTTAAATTATAATATTCAGGTGGTCAAAATATCTAGTTCTATCATTTTTTCACAAATACTTTAAAACCAACAACTTCACTTTCTGCAAAATATTATATTAAATGATAAGGAGTTTAGGACCTGAAGTTACGATACTACAATACCCAGGACGACATGAGCTCTCTAATTGAATTTTTTGTTTATAAATAGACAGCTATTTTGAGCTTTTGACAATGAGAATAGTTTAGTTAACCTCTTCGGGACGGGTGAGTCATATATGCATTTTCAGGTTGGCGAAAATCATGGTAAAAAAAAGATATAACTGGTAACCTAACTATTTGTATTGCTGTTTATTTGTGGGCCAGGTAATAATAGTTTTCTTTATAATTATCACCAAGACTTAGTTCAAGTTAAAAATTATATAGTTACTTTTTTAATAAATTTAGATCGGATGTATTATATTTGAAGTGAAAGCAAAAATAAGGTTGTCAAATTAGCCATGCCCAAACTTAAGCTACCGTTTTTTATTTTTTTTTACATCCTGTTTCTGATTCCATACGAATATATTTAGGAGTTACCCGTCCCGAAAAGGTTAACAGTTTATCTACCGGTCTCTCATTTTGCAGTAATTTGTAATCCACCTGCGTGAAAAATGTGGCAGCAGTTTAACATATGAAACAAGGAGACGTTTTTTTTTCTGAGCTCTACTTATTTTGCTAAAAGTCATAATAACCTTTTGATTTCAGAAACAAATATAGTTTTAAATATTATTAGTATATTTTAGTTGATAAGAATACTCAGCCAAAAATTGATATATTGATAAGAATGTTCAGTTTCTCCAATACAAATGCTAAGAATGTGAGAATATAATTACCAGTCTTTAACATTTTGAAGTTCCAAAAAGGGCGTTTAAACTGTTAACTTGATTTTTTAGGAGGATTGTTTTTCGTTTGGGTTGAATAATTTGAAGTTGCAATTTTTGTCCTGTAAGTCTAAGCATGAGGAATTTATTATATTTCCTTTTGCTTTTGTTGGAATGTCTATACGGCAGTCTTGAAATTTTGGTCTTTACAACGATACCAATGTCATTTGCGTAAAAAGTCACCGGCATGCTTAGACTAGTATGAAGGAAATAGAGGCTTGGAAATGGCAAGTGATTAAATATACATGTGTTTCGATTGAAAAACATGTGTTCGAATGATTGAATAAAAGTGGGGTTGCATTTTTCTCTTAACATCATTTCCCACCAAACATTCCTCACACGCCACGTCTTTTTAAAATGTTCTTTCTTCATTTAACCTAGGAAAAAAATAGAATTATTGTCTTTTCTTTAGATTATTTGAAAAACAAAATTCTCAATTTTTTTTCCTATTTCGAAATAAATCGTCTCCATGTCATAAATATAAAATATATATTATAAAAAAATAGTGCGTGGAGTCCCTCCGCG